TAAACCCTAAACCCTAAACCCTAAACCCTAAACCCTAAACCCTAAACCCTAAACCCTAAACCCTAAACCCTAAACCCTAAACCCTAAACCCTAAACCCTAAACCCTAAACCCTAAACCCTAAACCCTAAACCCTAAACCCTAAACCCTAAACCCTAAACCCTAAACCCTAAACCCTAAACCCTAAACCCTAAACCCTAAACCCTAAACCCTAAACCCTAAACCCTAAACCCTAAACCCTAAACCCTAAACCCTAAACCCTAAACCCTAAACCCTAAACCCTAAACCCTAAACCCTAAACCCTAAACCCTAAACCCTAAACCCTAAACCCTAAACCCTAAACCCTAAACCCTAAACCCTAAACCCTAAACCCTAAACCCTAAACCCTAAACCCTAAACCCTAAACCCTAAACCCTAAACCCTAAACCCTAAACCCTAAACCCTAAACCCTAAACCCTAAACCCTAAACCCTAAACCCTAAACCCTAAACCCTAAACCCTAAACCCTAAACCCTAAACCCTAAACCCTAAACCCTAAACCCTAAACCCTAAACCCTAAACCCTAAACCCTAAACCCTAAACCCTAAACCCTAAACCCTAAACCCTAAACCCTAAACCCTAAACCCTAAACCCTAAACCCTAAACCCTAAACCCTAAACCCTAAACCCTAAACCCTAAACCCTAAACCCTAAACCCTAAACCCTAAACCCTAAACCCTAAACCCTAAACCCTAAACCCTAAACCCTAAACCCTAAACCCTAAACCCTAAACCCTAAACCCTAAACCCTAAACCCTAAACCCTAAACCCTAAACCCTAAACCCTAAACCCTAAACCCTAAACCCTAAACCCTAAACCCTAAACCCTAAACCCTAAACCCTAAACCCTAAACCCTAAACCCTAAACCCTAAACCCTAAACCCTAAACCCTAAACCCTAAACCCTAAACCCTAAACCCTAAACCCTAAACCCTAAACCCTAAACCCTAAACCCTAAACCCTAAACCCTAAACCCTAAACCCTAAACCCTAAACCCTAAACCCTAAACCCTAAACCCTAAACCCTAAACCCTAAACCCTAAACCCTAAACCCTAAACCCTAAACCCTAAACCCTAAACCCTAAACCCTAAACCCTAAACCCTAAACCCTAAACCCTAAACCCTAAACCCTAAACCCTAAACCCTAAACCCTAAACCCTAAACCCTAAACCCTAAACCCTAAACCCTAAACCCTAAACCCTAAACCCTAAACCCTAAACCCTAAACCCTAAACCCTAAACCCTAAACCCTAAACCCTAAACCCTAAACCCTAAACCCTAAACCCTAAACCCTAAACCCTAAACCCTAAACCCTAAACCCTAAACCCTAAACCCTAAACCCTAAACCCTAAACTCAAATTATTTTCATTTTTGACACCTTCTAATCATTAAATTAGAGAAATCTCAAAATTTGTCAATTTTACCAATATTTGTGGGCTAACACCTACGAATTTTGACATTTGAAAAAATTGGAATAATATGTTATTAGTCTTTGTTAGATACTCTTTTACAATGAAAAATGTTTGGATCAATTTATTTTCACTTTCGAAACCTTCCAATCAATAATTAAGAAAACCTCAAAATTCATCAATTTTACCAATATTTGTGGGCTAACACCTAGGCACGTTTCTCGAAGCAGCAAGAAGTCAACCAGACAAGTCGCTTTCGCCTCCTGCATTAGGGTCTTTCTTTCCCAAAATAGCAAGGTTTTTTCAAATTTCAAACGCCTAGGGGCCTGCAGCGCCGGGTTCAACCCCCACCTACAGGTCGGAGGGTCCGCCTCAGACCACCGATAAGTAGACTCAACCCTCAGCAGTGACCGCTAGTCACTCCGTCGTCAACCGCAAGCTACCGTTCCCAGCCTTCAAGACCAAGCACCATCTACAAAGAATCAAAGTAAACTCTTTGAGAACCTGCAAAGCTAAGTTCACTAACTTCCGCTACTGCAAATCGAAGCTTGCCTCATCTCAACCGCCCATCGACCCTAAAGAATCTGTTTCAAAGAAAAGCAAACGAAGACAGCATGGAGAGGAGGTTTTCGTACGCAGAGAAAGGAAAAGCCGTAGTCACCTCGCAAGAAACCGCGGTCAGAAAAAGGATTCGAGCCCCAAACATGGACACCACGGACCTCATTGAGGAGAACTCCCTGACTCTCATTGGTAGAGTTACAAACCCTAGAGAGCAAAGGATCCGCTCCCTCATCCCCTACTTCACCAACCGGTGGGAAATAAAAGGAGAGATTGAAGGCTCGGATCTAGGAAACAACTGCTTCCAGTTCCGCTTCACTCTACTGGAAGATCTGAAAAGAATCTTAGCAAACAGACCTTACCAGTTCTCTAGATGGATGGTCGTCTTGCAAAGATGGGAGCCCATCATCTCAGCTAACTTCCCGTCTCAGATCCCGTTCTGGATCAAACTCAAAGGCCTCCCACTCCACTACTGGAAAGAAGACCTAGTCTGCAAGATTGGAAGAGAAGCCGGTGAACTCCTACACTTTGAGATCTCGAAAACAGTGGCAAGAACAAAGATCTCAGTCAATGCTCTAAACCCTATCTTAAAAGAAACGGAGGTGGAGTTCGCAACGGGTGAAGTGGCTTTAGTTACCTTGGAGTATGAGCGTCTCGGTCTCCACTGCACGATATGCAATAGCCTGACGCATGAGGACAAATATTGCCCAGAACCACGGGAGCAACAGAGGCAGAGATCTTCAAGCAACAACCGCCCCAGGTCTCCTGCAGGGGAAAAACATCAAGACAAAGGGGCAAGGCCTCCTTTAGACACCCAAAGAAGAACCACCCGGGGAGAAGGAGAGCCAAATAGAAAAGAGAAAAGAGATAGACACGGGAACCTGATAATGATAATGGAGAAACCAGTCTATACAAACCAAGGAAAAGAACACCGTGTAGAGACCACCAGAGAAGTGAGAGAGGAAACACCTCTGTCCAGCTACAGAGAAAGCTTTCGAACGCCTCAGAGAAGTGGGGGGAGCTCGCCTACAAAGAGAAGAGATTACCGAGAATACCTGGATAGAGCAACAAGAGGAACAGATAATGCCAATAGGTATTATAGGGAGGAAGAAAGATGGTACCAAGGGGCTCGCAGAGGCCAGGTCACCAGACGCAGCCCCCCTCAACTCCAGTGGAGAGAAAAAGGGGGAAGTCGCACTCCGAGTCACCAAGGGGAATCAGGAAGGTCTGAGACTTCCCGACCTCAATCGGTAGATAGAAGGATGGAAGATAGAAATCCACCGGAGATCCCAATACCCACAACGGAAGAGGTGATGCAAGAGCTCCAAGAAGTCACCATCAGATATATCAACTGCCCAGACCCGGCCGAAAGCGCTGCAAGAAGACAGAGAGTCATGCTATCAGAAGAACAAGGTCTAATGGAGGAAACAGCCGCTAATATAATAGCAGCAGCGACCGAGTCCTACCAAAGAACCCTAAATTTCGAACAAGAGCAAGAGGATGAGGAGGTACTGGAACCAAGACAGCAACAAGATCAAAACATCCCAGCTACTCAAGACCTTCAGAGGAAACGAAGGGGCAGACCACCAAAGAACAAGAGAGCTAGCCCGGCAGTAGGAGTAAGCCTTAGGCAAAGGAACTTGACTCAGTGCCTCAACTCACCTCAAGTCAGGGACAGTGCTAGAAGGAACACAAAAACAAGAACCCAAAGAGGGAATCAGCGATGTACAACTCCAATAAACCAAAGGGACGCTGGCCCAAGCACAGAAAGGGCGAATTCAGAGACGAACTTACCGGCTCTCTCGAGGGCAACGGAAAATTTACGGTCTCCGCAAGATCGGCTTCCTTAAAAGTGGCAAGCTGGAACTGTTGTGGGCTGGGGAACCCTGCGACAGTCCAGCGAATAAGGGAGATACGTTCTACCATCTCCCCAGACATCATGTTCCTCATGGAAACCAAAAATCAAAGCGAGTTTGTGATGAAGGAGCTCCACTCTCTGGCTTACACCTCATCATTCACGGTACCACCTCATGGACATGGAGGTGGAGGGCTAGCCCTTCTCTGGAATCAAAAAGTAAAACTGGAAGTCTTAGACTCCTGCGACAACTACATAGACACGACAATAAGCTATAAAAATCAAAGGTTCCTCGCAACATTCACCTATGGAGAACCAGACCACACAAAGAGAAGAGAGGTTTGGGATAAGATTTCTGACCTTGGAGTAGCAAGAGAAAACCCGTGGTTCCTCACAGGAGATTTTAACGAGATCATGGACAACTCAGAAAAACAAGGAGGACCTCCCAGATCAGAAGCGTCGTTTGGCGATTTCCGAGAATTCCTCTCCAAGAACGATCTCTATGATATCCAACATACAGGGAACTCCCTGTCCTGGCGAGGCGTCAGGGGTACCCATCTCGTTCATAGCCGTCTTGATAGAGCCCTCTCCAATAGCGCTTGGACAGAAGCGTTCCCTACAGGCAGAAGCATCTATCTCCCGTTCGAAGCTTCCGACCACAGACCGATAATCACCTTCTTCGAACCGGCACTGCAAAAGAAAAGAGGCCTTTTCAGATATGACCGGAGGATGAAAAGTAATGAGAAGATCAAACAATTGGTAGCAAAAGCCTGGGGAGAAGAACCAGATGCAACTGTGGAACAGAGAATTTCAAAATACAGGAAAGAAATAGTAAAGTGGAATAGACAACACCACCAAAACAGCAAAAAGGTGATTGAAGAGAAGAAAAAACAGCTAGAAGAAGCTATGACTTTGAGGATAGCGGATGAGACTAGAATCCAAAGCATAAACGCATTTCTCAAAGAAGCCTACAAAGAGGAAGAAAGCTACTGGAAACAGAGAAGTAGGCAGTTATGGCTAGCATTGGGAGATAAGAATTCAGGCTATTTCCACGCGGTGACAAGAGATAGAAAGCGCATTAATGCTATAACAATGATAGAGAAAGAGAATGGAGAAACCTGCTATGAAGAAAGCCAAATCGCAGAAACAGTGGCAAACTTCTACTCGGAGCTTTTCACGTCGCAGGAGCGTGATAGAGCAGCTATGGTGGATAGAATTTTGGAGCCACGAGTCACGGAGGAGGACAACAAAGCGCTAACGGCCGAGCCTTCGAAAGAGGAAGTAAAAAGGGCACTCTATGCCATCCACCCGGACAAAGCACCAGGTCTAGACGGGTTCTCTGCTAGCTTCTTCCAGTCTAACTGGGATGTAGTGGGAGACACTATCACTTCTGAAGTCAAGACTTTCTTCTCCACATGAATCTTGCCTACAACAATCAACAACACCCACATTAGACTAATTCCTAAAATCTCGAGCCCCAAAAAAGTTGCAGATTATCGACCGATAGCTCTTTGTAATGTCTATTACAAAATAATCTCAAAGATGCTTACCTTACGACTTCAGCCGATCCTGAATGGGCTCATCTCGGAAAACCAATCCGCCTTTGTTCCTGGCCGAGCCATCTCAGAAAACGTTTTGATCACACACGAAGTTCTCCACTTCCTGAAAACCTCCGGAGCAAAGAAGCACTGCTCCATGGCTGTTAAGACTGATATGAGCAAAGCCTATGATCGCATAGAGTGGGATTTCCTGATAGCGGTTCAAAGAAAGTTAGGTTTCCAAGAGAAATGGATAAACTGGATACATCAGTGTGTCTCAACAGTCAAGTATTCGTACCTGATCAACGACGGTGCGCATGCAGCAGTGACACCACAACGAGGCATAAGGCAAGGAGACCCCCTCTCGCCGTACATCTTCATTCTCTGTGGAGAAGTTTTATCTGGACTCTGTAGAAGAGCTCAGAGAGATGGGACCCTTCCGGGTATTCGAGTGGCTAGAGGCAGTCCTCTAATCAATCACCTCCTATTCGCAAATGATACAATGTTTTTCTGTAAGTCAAACAAGAAAAACTGTGAGACCCTACATCAGATTCTACAGACGTATGAGGAAGCATCTGGCCAAGTGATTAACCTAGGGAAATCGTCTATCACCTTTGCGAACAAGACAAACATTGAAACCAAGGAGAAGGCAAAAGAGATTCTAGGGATAACAGCCCTGGGAGGACAGGGGAAATACCTCGGACTGCCTGAACACTTTGGCAGAAAGAAGAAGGATCTTTTTGCTCTAATCGTGGATCGGATCAGAAGGAAAGCAGTTAGTTGGTCTTCTCGCTTCCTGTCGGGGGCGGGGAAGATGACGATGCTCCAAGCGGTTCTCTCAGCCATCCCAACCTACACGATGTCATGTTTCAAACTGCCTATTAGCTTGTGTAAAAGAATACAATCAGCAATGACTAGATTCTGGTGGGATGAGACATCAGGAAAGAAGAAGATGTGTTGGGTAGCGTGGAAAAAGCTTACAAGATCGAAGAAGGACGGAGGACTAGGCTTCAGAGACGTGGAAGCGTTTAATGATGCACTCCTGGCCAAGCTAAGTTGGAGGATTCTCACTAACCCCAATTGCCTCCTAGCCCGGGTACTTAAAGGAAAGTACTTCCGGTACACCAGTTTCCTCGAGGCCCGTCCCCGGAAATCTGCTTCTCATGGATGGCAAGGCCTCCTAGTTGGCCGAGATTTGTTGAGACTTAACCTTGGAAAAGCCATCGGTAATGGAGAAGCTACGAGCATTTGGAACGACCCATGGCTATCCTTGGAGACCCCAACAAAACCCATGGGACCAGCGACGTTAGGAACAGCTGAGTGGACCGTGGCAAAGCTCATTGACCCTCACACCAAAACATGGAACAAAGAGAAAATCCTGTCAGTCTTACCAAACCTAGAGCAACAAATCTTATGCGTCAAACCGAGCGTTTTGGGAAAAGAAGACAAGTATATATGGCTAGCAACGGAATCAGGAGAATACACCTCTAAAACCGGCTACCATATTGCGTTTGCAAAGCAGTCAATCGAAATCACGGTCCTAGATACCAATAATGAAAGCTCAATCAACTGGACTAGGGACGTGTGGAATGCTCATACCTCACAGAAGCTGAAGGTGTTCCTATGGAAGCTGAGTAGCGGAGCCTTGGCCTTGGGAGAAAACCTCTTCAGCAGAGGAATCAAAGCTAATGCGGTTTGCAACCGTTGCGGAGAGTTGGAGACTCGAGAGCATATGCTCTTCCTCTGCTCGTTTGCCAAACAAGTCTGGGAAGCGACCCCAGTAAGAAATCTCCCAAGCTTCACCTCAGATCAAACGTTTGGCACTATACTCCAGGAAGTAAAAAGCTGGATCTGTCTCCCCCCAGTAGGACTCATGGGTAGCTCTCTGTTCCCATGGATCTGTTGGTTCTTGTGGCTCGCCAGAAACAAGCAGATCTTCGATGAAAGGGGCTTTTCACTGTCAGACACAATTACCAAAGCAATATCCAAGGCGCGGGAATGGGAAGCAGCTCAGATCACGACACCAACAACGGAAAGGAGATTAGGGACAGGAGAAGCTCTACCGCTTCACCCTCAAGCCACAATCTGCTTCGTCGATGCAACTTGGACAGTGGAAAACCAGGCAGCGGGATACGGCTGGCTCTTCAAAACACAAGCCGGCGTTGTTATCAGAGAAGGGCACAAATCGGAAGCTCCGGTCCGATCCCCACTAGCAGCAGAAGCCTTAGCGCTGAGGGAAGCTCTCATGGACGCCAAATCACGAGGATGGACCAACCTCTGCTTCAAGTCCGATTCACAGACGCTCATCAGAGCCATTCGATCATCCGACAATATAGCCGAGATCCACGGAGTCCTCCAAGACATCCATCTTCTGGCTTGCTCATTTGTCTCGATCGCCTTCGTCTTCACGCCGAGATCTAACAATCTCCAAGCAGATTCGATCGCAAAACTTGCACTTTCTTCGTTTGTATCGTTTTCTTCGTTTGTAACGCAACACGCGTAAACCGGTTCGGTTCAAATTTACTTTAATGAAAGGATGTTCAAAAAAAAAAAAAAGTGGGCTAACACCTACGAGTTTTGACAAATTTTGAGAACAATTGAAATATTATGTTATTAGTATTTCCTAGAACTCTTTTACTATGAAAAATAGTTGGATCAAATTATTTTCACTTTTACACCTTCTAATCATTAATAGAAAAATCTAAAATTTGTCAATTTTGCCAATATTTGTGGGCTAACACCTACGAGTTTTGACAAATTTTGAAAAAATTGGAATAATATGTTATTAGTCTTTGTTAGATACTCTTTTACAATGAAAAATGTTTGGATCAATTTATTTTCACTTTCGACACCTTCAATCAATAATTAAGAAAAACCTCAAAATTCATTCAATTTTACCAATATTTGTGACTAACACCTACGAGTTTTGACAAATTTTGTAAAAATTGGAATATTATGTTATTAGTATTCCTTAGAACTCTTTTACTATGAAAATGGTTTGATCAAATTATTTTCACTTTAGACACCTTCTAATCATTAATTTAGAAAAATCAAAATTCATCAATTTTACCAATATTTGGACTAACACCTACGAGTTTTGACAAATTTTGAAAAAATTGGAATAATATGTTATTAGTCTTTCTTAGAACTATTTTACTATGAAAAATAGTTGGATCAAATTATTTTCACTTTCGACACCTTCTAATCATTAATTTAGAAAAACTCAAAATTTATCAATTTTCAATATTTGTGGGCTAACACCTACGAGTTTTGACAAATTTTGAAAAAATTGGAATAATATGTTATTAGTCTTTTTAGAACTCTTTTACTATGAAAAATAGTTTGATCAAATTATTTTCATTTTTGACACCTTCTAATCATTAATTTTAAAAATCTCAAAATTTATCAATTTTGTCAATATTTGTGGGCTAACACCTACGAGTTTTGACAAATTTTGAAAAATTGGAATAATATGTTATTATCTTGTTAGATACTCTTTTATAATGAAAAATGTTTAGATCAATTTATTTTCACTTTCGACACCTTCCAATCAATAATTAAGAAAAACTCAAAATTTCAATTTTGCCAATATTTGTGGGCTAACACCTACGAGTTTTGACAAATTTTGAAAAAATTGGAATATATGTTATTAGTCTTTCTTAGAACTATTTTACTATGAAAAATGGTTGGATCAAATTATTTTCACTTTCGACACCTTCTAATCATTAATTAGAAAAAATCAAAATTTTCAATTTTGCCAATATTTGTGGGCTAACACCTACGAGTTTTGACAAATTTTGAAAAAATTGGAATAATATGTTATTAGTCTTTCTTAGATACTCTTTTACAATAAAAAATGTTGGATCAATTTATTTTCACTTTCGACACCTTCCAATCATTAATTAAGAAAAACCTCAAAATTCATCAATTTTACCAATATTTGTGGCTAACACCTACGAGTTTTGACAAATTTTGAAAAAATGGAATAATATGTTATTAGTTTCCTTAGATACTCTTTTACTATGAAAAATGGTTTGATCAAATTATTTTCACTTTAAACACCTTCTAATCATTAATTAGAAAATTCTCAAAATTCATCAACTTTGCCAATATTTGTGGGCTAACACCTACGAGTTTTGACAAGTTTTGAAAAAATTCGAATAATATGTTATTAGTCTTTGTTAGATACTCTTTTACAATGAAAAATGTTTGGATCAATTTATTTTCACTTTCGACACCTTCTAATCAAATAATTAAGAAAAACCTCAAAATTCATCAATTTTACTAATGTTTGTGAACTAACACTTACGAGTTTTGACGAATTTTGAAAAAATTGGAATAGTCTGTTATTAGTGTTTCTTAAATACTCTTTTAATATGAATTTTTTTTAGATCTATGTAGTTTCACCTTAGACACCGTCTAATCATTAATTTAGAAAAACCTCAAAATTCATCAATTTGACCAATATTTGTGGGCACACCTACGAGTTTTGACAAATTTTCAAAAAAATTTGAATAGTTTGTGATTAGTCTTTCTTATATACTCTTTTACTATAAAAAAAATTTCAGATCAATTTAGTTTCACTTTAGACACCGTCCAATCATTAATTTAGAAAAATCTCAAAATTCATCAATTTTGCCAATATTTGTGGGCTAACACCTATGAGTTTTGACAAATTTTCAAAAAATTGGAACAATATGTTATTAGTCTTTCTTATATACTCTTTTATTATGAAAAATGGTTGGATCAATTTATTTTTACTTTAGATACATTCCAATCAATAATTTAGAAAAACTTCAAAATTCATCAATTTTGCCAATATTTGTGGGTTTAACACCTACGAGTTTTGACAAATTTTAAAAAAATTGGAATAATATGTTA